AAAACCTTAATTTTTTTTTGAATAAAATCTTTAAACAAAATCGTTGGTTTCTTTAGAATTAATTATTGAATCAATTACACAAGTGGTGGTCAATTTAAAAGGCATGTTTAAAAAGTTTACTTGAAATGATATTATTTAAATTTGTGAAAATTTTTTTTAAAAAGTTAATTAATGATTTTTGTAAAAATGTTATTTGATTGATGAATCTACAACAACTTCAATCCAAAATCAACCATGTTTATATATTTTTAAGGATTTTTTATTTATTTATGATAATTTTAACACTATCAGAGTCGTAAAAAGTAAACACAAAATTTTTCGAGTGTAATTTTTTTCTTATATACAAGACTTAAAAGACTAAATTAAATTATAATGTTAAATTCCTTAGCATGATCAATACAAAATAATAATTCTAGCAGTTTTCTTTAATTTTCTTTTAGAAATAAACAATAAATTTCTAAAATAAATAAATAATCGTTTATTTTATTAATTGTTAATTAATCTGTTTTAGTATGATCAAATAAATCTGGTTTTTTTTCTCAATCATTTTTACGATTTTATCTTATTCATTTTTTTTTTAATAATAAATAATTTATCTAAAAATAATTAGTGTATGTTCAAATAAAATATCAAGTCTCAATGACTATTTTTTTTATACAAGATCATCATAAATAACGATATTATTATTTTTTTCTCTTAAATACATATGTCAATCGTAATCAAATTTAATTGTCATAATTTTATTATCTTTTGCCAAAAATAAAAAATACTGCTTTGTTTAAGGCTAAATTTGAACCACGTAATATGACAGACCAAGAATTAGATCCGGATACTGAAAGCATTTCGGAGATTCAAAATGGTTTATATTTTATCCTAGTAATTTTTGGGAGAGCGAATTTGATTGGCGACAATAAAAATAAAAATAATGATAGGTTATGAGAATTGGGTGTTTACTAACGAATGGTTTTGAGTGTGATTCGATTATTTCTCAAGTCGAAACTTGTTATTTTTATTCTTTTCTAAAGAAAAGTTGCTGTTTAAAGTACATGGAGTTCGAGTTGTTTATATACATAATGTTTCATTAGAGGACTACTTTCTCGACCAAGTTTATTTTATTGTACTCTTGACTAAGAGAATTTTGTACCGTTGTACTTAAATATACCTGACGAAATGTATTTTACCGCCAAAGGCATATTGACGAAAAGAAGAAAATGTGATGAAAAGTGAAAAAGGGAAGATACAATTTTCTCATTTATCACAAAGAAAAATATGTAAAGATCCATAGTAACAATATTGTTTGCAAAATGGTTGTAGGACAGTTATTAATATTGTAGTATTCTTGTTCGAATTAATCATCACTATTTTCTGATAACAAACAACTGCCGGTTTCATTAGCTTCACAATAATCATAAAAATAACCACTTTCTGTTCTGAAGAAAATAAAATACAGGCCACATCCAATACTGTAGTTTGTATGTCTTGAGTTTCTCCACGTTGAAACATTTGACAGAAAGATGGTAAAACGTGGATGCTGATCTTCCTAGTTGAGAAAAGGACACTTGAGTTTAGCATTTACAAATCGAGGCTGTCTATCATCCAAGATTTCAGTGAATGAGTGGATATAAATTTAAGAACATGTGTAAACATTATTTTTAAATTAATTACATTTCGTCAATTTCACCAAATGTGACGAATTAATATTAACAACGATTTGACGAAATGATTTCCCACTCACAAACATTTCGTCAGGTATCATTAGTATTGTTGACTTTGTGCATAAAATAATCAATAAAAATCAAGTAACATGAATGACGAGAAAATTTTTAACGAGTTAATAATATTTTTTGAAATTCATTTATTATTAAATAATGACAATAATTTCAATGATGATAATTGATAACGCAGTAAAAGTTGGTAGGTTTCAAGAACTTGGAATAAGTATATATGAATTTAATGATACGTTAAGTTATCTCTTCTATCGAATATTCACAATAAATTTTACACGAAATTAAGACTGACTTGATTAGTTGTTATTGAATCTGAATCATTATAATTGGTTGATCGGTTGATAGATTAAGTAAGAAATGAGATTAATTTATATCCAAAATTATTTGGACTCTTTAATCCGAGATAAATCAAATAGCGTTGTTATTTTATGTTCATTCATATAGAGAATGTTGATATTGCCGAAATAATTAAAACAATTTCGACCGAGATGGTGAATATTATGCTTGCTCCAATTGTGCGAACAATCGGAAATACAAGGAAACGAAATTAGCAGATTCTCGAGGCCCAGAAAGTCTAGAAGATTTTCAATCTATATAACAAAAATATGATATTCAAGAAGGTTCTTCTGTTACAAGTACTCCATCCTGTATTAGTATGTTCGAAAATAATTCGTATTCATTGTATGCCTGCCTATGAAATTTTGGATGTTTCATATATACAATAAACCAGTTATTGCATGCAGAAACATGCAATAACTTGTAAGAAAAAGTTGTAAAAGAATAGTTTCTACACTGTTGTAAAAAATTTTTACGTCAGATTTCACCGAATTACCCTTTTTTATATAAAAATCTTTTGTTTTCACGTGGACTCTAACCATTTAATTATTCTTGCGATGATACACATGATACACATGCAAAAACATGTAGATCACTTTCAGATGTGATTAGTACCATAATTCCGCCGACTGAATTATTATTAATATTAATAGCATTGGCAGAAACTTATATTTGATTGAGCATTGTCTTTTCAAATTATAAAAAATATTTTTAAATGATAAAGCGTGATAAACCTATTGAATGTTATATCTTCTGGCTGGATATTCTATTGGGAATTGGTCTATTTATGTTAGATATCATCGCAATTAGCCAATATTAACATGTTTTGGATGAATTCGAGGGAGGTCCCGCCAAAATTAATGTACCACGGTGACGCACGCACCAATTATTTGAAAGATTATAAATATTTGTGTCTATTAAGCACCAACTCTATCTATAACAGTCAAAACAATGAAAAGAGTAACTGTTGCAAAATACAAAAAAAATAAATAAATTGCATAGTGACAACGAATTCAAGTTGTAAATCGTGTTTAGGTGACAGTAAAGGAATATTCATATTGATGGTTAAATAAAATTATGAAACAATGACGTTTCTAAAAACAAACATTGTTGGAAATCTTTATAGATATATATATATATAAAGTGTACTTGTCAAGCCTATTGTGAAGAAGATTTACTAACAGTTAAAACTAGTCCTAACGGCGACTGAGGATTGATATAAATTTTGTTTTCATTTCGCATCATTTTTAAAATATTATTATTATTTATTATATGTTTGTAATAATCAATATTAATATTAATGGATTACTGCATGATAATACAGTTATTATTATTAGTCATCGTCATCCACTAATAAATGAAAAAATTTTTTTTACAGGTATACACCTGAATTGTATTTAATTATTTATTATCGTCATTATAAATATAATGGTATAATCGTAATATTTTTAAAAAAAAAAAAATTTTTTTTTTTAAAATTTTAATGTCGATCGTCAAATTAATTAATCTCTTCGTATACAACCTTTAAAATTAAAAAAAAACACAATATAATATCAAGTATAGTTAAAGTTTAATTACCAAATTTGTCCATTTTATAATTTAAAAATAAATTTCAGTTTTTCGATTTAATTTTTGATTTTTCTTTGTGAGACTTTGTTTAAACATTCTTGGGTTATTTCGTTGTTATTTATTTAGAATTAAAAACCTTATTTTCCATATCGGGTTGTCTATCGACTATAATACTAAGAACATTGACAATATTTAAAAAAAAATAATAAAAAAAGATTATTTTTTTCATTTTGAAAAAAATAAAAAATAAAACTTCTTTTTTTATTTTTTCATCATCATTTATTATTATTAATTATTAAGTTAATTAATAATAATAATAATACTGTACTCCAGAGTTTTTTTATTCACTTCCTTTTACACCGTTCCATTTTCGTAAATAGATTAGTGTAGTGTTGGCAGTGCCAAGCTCGCATATAAAATATAAAATATAATTAGATATTTTTAAAAACAAACTTACTTTTTTTATTATTATTATTATTTCGAAAAACGCAGGTCGTTCTACAACAATTATAAATACTAAAATTAAAGCCAAGGCACCGTTTTCGAAAAAAAAAATTTTTTTCAAAAAAAAAAAACTGGAACAAATTGATCACAATAGTAGTAGTAGTAGTAGCATCATTTCCAATACTAATAACATCAATAAATAATATTAATACATAATTAATATATAATGGCTACGAAGACGATGATAAATTTAGCAAGAATTATTATATTCTTAATTTCTTTATCATTATCGGTAGGTTTAATTAAACTGACCATTAAAATATAATACTAAACTTTTTTTATAATTAATAATTTTCATGCTTATCTTATTCTTATAGCTTTATTCATTATTTGTCGCCACAGTAACCTTTAGAGATCTAAATTGTAAGTTTTACGATAATAATAATAATAATAATAATAATAATCAATTAATAAATCATTAAAAAAAGAAAATATCGAAATATAATCAATTATTTATTTATTAAACTGTATAAATTCTAATAGTTACGCTTACAATCACACATCTGAGTAAAGCAATAATAATCGGATACGGTATAATTCTTGTTCTAATTGCACCTTCTGGTCTATGGGGAATTATTGGATCTATCTTGGTATAAAAAATAGATATTTATTTAAAAAAATATTTTTGTAATTAATTAATTAACAATGATTTTTTTCGCTTTTCCTTTCTTTCATCATCTTCATCTTCAACCCCTCTTTCTTTCCTTCTTCTCCTATTCACAGAATAATCCGGAATTAACAATTCGTTATATACGAGATCACTGGTTCGCGCTAATAATAATATCCATTATAGATATTGTTAAGACTATTTTTCCATTTGTCAATAAAGATCAAGTCATAAACGATTGTTTGGGTCCAGCTACTATGAGTGATGTAGATACTGCCATTACGAATTGTCAGAATGATTTTGATTTCAATCAAAGAGCGAGTTGGATAATCTTTGGAGGTCAAGAAATTATATTGGTTAGTTTAAACTTTTAAAATTTTCAATTTCCAAAAACATTAGTATTAATATTAATATACTTATTATTAGGTCGTACTTGGAATTATTGCATGGCGATGTCAAAGAAATATCGGTCTAAAACCTGGTATAGATAATAATAAAACGAAAAAGGATAAAAAGTCTAAAAAATCCATGAAACTATCTAATGATGATAATACAATTGATCAAGATAGTGATCTTTCTTCAATAATTGTACAACCTTCTCAATCTTATATTAATGATAAAGATAACGATAATTTGGACACATCAAACTTTAATAATAATAATAATAATAATAATAACAACAACAACAACAACAATAATAATAATAATAATAATAATAACGAGAATAATAATAATAATAATAATAATAATAATAATAATAATAACGAGAATAATAATAATAATAATGAGAATAGCAATAGTGATGATAGTATTATTAACAATAATGGAATCAATCAAGAAGCAGCGAGAAATTATAATCCACAAAACCCAACACAATTATATCAAGATCTAAACTCAGTTTCCAATCTTTATCCCAACAGTCCAAATCCAACTCCCAATTTTTATCCCAATAATCCAAACCCACCTCCTGCATCATTGTATCAAAATCGTCAATTAAATACTTCAGATAGACAACTTTTACCACCTAAAAGACATAATACTTTATCATCAACATCTCATAATCAAAATTCTTATTTGTCAATTAATTCTTCCAGAATACAGCAAGTTCCACCATTCCAACAACAACAAAAAAATTATCAAAAATATACAACATACCAACAAATTATCGCTGCCACAACTAATGGTAATGATAATGGTAACAACAATACTCCAATCCCAAATTTTGCTCAACAACCTCAACTTCAATCTCAATATTCTCAACAACAACAACAACAATATCAACAACAACAACAACATAATTATATTCCTAATCATAATGATGACTCACAAAATGGTCATGTTCATACTCATAGGCGTTCAAAAAGTCATCCACAATTAAGACCTTTACCTAAACCACCAGGTGCGGACGAATCTCAAATCCCACAGATCCCACAGATCCCAATAATACCAAATTCATCATCAATAACTCCTATTCAACCACTGTCTACACCAATACGGCAGCAGCAACTATTTCAACAATTTCCAGATCATCAACAACGGCCAAAAATTAACGATTCTCGATATGTTTCGCAAACGCCCAAGAGATCTTCTACGAGTAGTCGGTTTCACCAACCATTTCCTCCACTAGTTGTTGATCAAAACTTACCTTACCAGTCACTTCGCTCAAACTCTTTACCAAGCGTTTATAAACCAAAAGAATTATTTGAACAAGAATTAAGCGTTGCTCCTCCTGTTCCTTCAATTTCAGGTAGTTCAGGGGATAATAATGAACATTCAATTCCTGATAGTTTAATACCTGGTGGTAATAGGTCTTCAATCGCTAGGAAAAAAACAATTCCTAAACCTAATAATAATAATAATAATAATAATAGCTTAAAGAAATATGTCCCTCCAGCTTTATCATCGCTAGAGAACGGTAGTAAAACCGCTCTTGAGCGTTTCATTCACACTTACGGTAATGTCACACCTGAAAGTCCATCATTCAGATATTCTGATGTACAACCATTACCAAAACCTAAATCCAATGATGATAATAATGTTAATAACGATGTTACTGATAAAAATAATGAAAATAATTACGATAATAAGAATAGTATTAATAATAGTATTAATAATAGTGACAATGCTAAAAATGTTAAACGTCTTCGTCCAAAATCTGCACATTCTGTTAAAGGTGAGGCAAGTCCAAAATATAATGTTCCTTCGGTATACGGTGGAATACCAAATGGATATTATAATAACTATAATAATTTAAATAATAATAATATAAATAATAATATCAACAACAGCAGCAGCAGCAGCAACAGCAACAGCAACAGCAACAACAATAATAGTCATCTTCAAGACAAACAATTTATACCACAAAGTAGCTATTATTATAAATAATTATTAGTATTAATATATACAGTGTATTTATGATAAATGTATCATATTGTAAGTTTTTAATCTTTGTATTTATAAAAACAGTTAATTTGGATAATTTTTGTAAAAAATAATAAAAGATAAAAAGGACACTATTTTAACAATTCATATTCTTTTCAACAAAACTAAAAATGTACAATAATTATGGAATACGAACTCGCGTGTATTTGCTTTTGGAAAATTATTTTATTTACAAAAGTTTTCAATTTTTTTTGGCAAATGCGATGGTCGATTTTTTCGTCCTTTTGAATATTTATTGAGTCTATAACCCAGGAATGTGAGAGAAAGATAGAGACGAGGAACTACTAAGGCTCTTTGTTCCGCTATCAAAAGTGGCACCCCAGATTTTACATAATACTGGAATGCCAATGCCCACATGGAAGAGTCGTTATTCCGTCTGAAAATATCCAACATTTTGTATCAAGAGAGCAGAGTACCTTTTTTTTCCGACTCAACAATGGATAATATATATTAATATGGCCTTTAGAACCTGTTCCGATACTTTTTGCATAGAAGATTTCATTCTCGAAGAGGCAGTCCCTATACAATTGGATCGTCAAACCAAAGGTCCTATCCACTAGATCATCTAAAAGAGATCTTCTAAGGCTAGGGAAGTATGTATTAAAAGTTGTATCTGCCATTCCCCCCTTTATGCTTCGATTTGATGGTTCTGTCCACCAAAAGTATAATTTAGCCCTAATCACAAATACTCCAGTCATTAAAGATTTGGAGCACTCATCCTTCGTCAATCCTAAAGTTTTAGTATATAGGGTGTTCAGGATTATGGGGTTTTTTTTTTTGCAAATTATGCTTTTATGCGATCATAATTTTTGGGCAAATTTGAAAATAATTCTGGCCAAAATTAAAATACATAAAATTTAATTGACGATCCGTCTATGAATTCCACATCCCCGTCATGTGATAAAATTTAAATGAAAGAAAATGAAAAAAAAACTTTACGATTTCATTTTTGAAAGGATTTAATCAATAACGAAGTAATTATAGCGTCATTTTCCTTTTTTTAAAGTTTTGGAGTTTTGAAATGGTTATGAATTTTGGAGTTTAAAAACAGTTTCGGAATTTAATAGTTTCGGGATTTCGGAGTTTCAAAAACAATGTTTCTATTCATAACACAATTTCTTGTTCAATCTTAATTATATTTTATTTGTTCAACTGTTTTATTTCATCCATTGAATACTCAAATTGATTAATTATTTATTCGAATTATATATTTTTAATAAGTTACACGAACGTAAAAACTTTTTTATACTATATAATACATTTTTTCCTTTTTGTGTATTTTTTTTTTTTTTTTGTCATGTTAAGTAATTTTATTAATAATAGGAACATCATACATATTGTTAAATGTTACAAAATTAATCTACAACCTACTTAACTCACTCTCTATTTACAGTGGTAATGTCGCATTCTTCTATTTCAATGTAAAGCTCTACGTAAAGCAGGTGATTCAATAATCACACAATTAAGATTAACACTTTATGTCTTTGAGTTAAAAGATACCAGTGGAGTATCTCCTTTTTGTGTATTGATAAATAAATTTATCAAAATTTAATATGTTTTTTGGAGTTTTTTGTCATTTTCACTAAACTTTAATAAACAACAATCCACATAAAGCTATACATATATGAATACTTACAATATTTTACATATTTTCAACCACTCGCCAAGTTTATAAAGGTAATATTGGTAAAAAAACCTTAGCTTTGAAATAAAAAGTAATGCTGTTTTTGAATAAATATAGCTTAACAAAGAGAGTCTCTATCAATATGGGGGAGAACTCGTTAGAAAGCTATAATGTCATAGTTTTATTTTTGATTAATAATAATGTTTGAATTTGTTATAAAAAGAATGAGATATTTTAAAAAACTGATTTGTTACACAAGTCAGATTTTCTATTTTATATATGTAATTACACTTCGTTTGACTGTTACCTAAATCATTTATCAAACGGATTCGAATTGAGAAAATAATAGAAAGAAAGGCAAAGACATTATAAAGTCTTTTGATTATTTATATATAAGGTAATGATGGTTTGTATAAGATGCCTAAAAATCACTAAATTACTTGACTCTGCATTGTGAGATGTGCAAATTTCTACCATGCTTCCGTCATTTATCTCTAAAAATCAATCCGTCCGTCCGTTAATTGCTCAAAAAATACATCCGTCGGATTTAAACGGATCATCCGGATGGTATAGATTATCTGCGGTTTGAACGGATAATTCAGCAATATTAGTATTAGTATTAATAAAAAGTTACAAAAAGAAATTTCAATCCGCAATCCGTTAGCATTTTAAAAAAGCTATCCGTTCATCCGGATTGATCATCCACGGATCGCATCCCTACGCATAGCAACAATTCTTTTCTGATATTTTCTGGTAACAGATTTGTTTGGCCACAATCCTTTTTTAAAAAATAATTAATTGATTAATACTAAATGCAAAGTTGTATGCCTTATTATTATGTAAATGACATTGTAAAAGAAAATGATTTAATTATTTATCATTACTAATTAATATAATAAAGAAATATGTTTATATATTATCTAATGTCTGAAACGTGTTAGTACCACTATTATTGTTGCTGCTGGAATTTCTAATACCGATGTGCAAATTAAGATTCACTTTAGTCGCTTTATTCATCTTATTTCGTAAACAATTTATTCGAATACCTAAAATTAAATAGAAACCTACAAGCACAATCAGTTTATTGAAAAAAAAATTTTTATTTGGCATGAAATTATTATTGTCCGTTTTGAATAACAAAATAGAATGATAGTAGTAATCTTTAAAATAAAAATATATTCTATCAATCAAAATTTCTTTTATAATGTTTTGAAGAGTAAACGACGAATTATTTATTTTTTAACATACAACGTGCGAAATGTGTAAAACTTTATAAAAACGCATCACATTCAAGCTAGATCTATTTGTTATAATGTTAGATGAAATTAAATGTGAAGATGTAATAAGAATATTTGTTACAATTAAAAAATAATGGGAATTCCTAATTTAGTGAAATATGGAACTCAAAAATGTTAAAAGGTTGTAAAACCCGACAGGATGATTTTTTTGATCAGGTCACATGATAGACCGTATCCTTAAATTTATATTAAAAAAATTTAGTAATATAAACAGTTTTCATTGTTCATTTGTTAATATTTGATTAACCAAAAATGCCGGGAGAAGCTTTAATTTTTCTTTTTGGTACTATTATGGCAGCTGTTTTGTTATTCATGATGGTGTTCTTTGTATCCTTTGATATATCCTTAATGATTTTTTGATCAAGGATTAATCAAAATATTTATAACAGCATTTATTTTTCTTAATGCTTCTTAAATAATTTTTTATTGTTATTATTCCAATCTTAGACTATCATGTTTTCAGATCTTGAATGTGATTATATTAATCCAATCGATCTTTGTAATAAATTGAATCAGGCAAGGAATGGTTTATTAAAATAATTATTTTTTTTTATTTTTATAAATAAAAACTAAACTTTTTATTTTATATTAGTTTGTACTGCCAGAAAATTTAGTTCATACATTTTTATTTTTCTTGTTTTTGATTAATGGAAGTTGGATTGCAGCCTTAATTAATATCCCATTAGTAGCATTTAATGTTAATAAGTAGGTTTTTTTTAAAAAAAAAGCTTTTAAAAAAATTAATTTATTATTAATATTAATGCTAATAATAATATACGTTTATAATATGAAGAATTACAAACAATCGTCACATGTATGATGCCACAGAAATTTTTAGAACGCTTAATCAACATAAGAAGGAATGTTTCATTAAACTTGGATTTTATTTAATCACATTCTTTTATTATTTATACAGGTAATTTTGTCAATTTGTAATACGAATTAATACTATGGATCATTGATAATTGCTATTATACTAATAATTTTATTATCATCATCTTTTTTTTAGAATGATTGTTGCACTTATTAACGAATCTTGAAACAATTACAAAATAATAATTAATTTTATAATTAGGAATTTTTATTGATCAATTAAAATTTTAAAAAATATCGGTGGATATTGTTTGATTTTATATTTAATAATAATAAACCATAGAAAAATTATATATTCATTTACAAGTATAAAATCAGCAAGATTTTATTTTTAATTTTTTTGGATAAAAAAAATAATACAAATTAATTAGTAGATAAAAAGTATCTATATTATAATTTACATAAAGAGGATATTTATGATAATGGTGAAATATATATATAATTATATTTAAATATACAAATAGATAAATATGGATGTTGAATAGAATATGTGTATATATATGTAAGTAATAAATGAATCATTAGCTTGGAGGATTAGGTTTATGCTCAAAGTATTGCATTAACCAATTTACTTGCTAATCTCGCATTATTTTTCATTTTTTCTTTTGAAAAATTATTAAATGATCCTGAATCTGTTAGATATTTAAATCCCAACGATTCAAGATGCATTAATTGATTAACATTTTGATTTCTAACATATAAGTGAGGTTTTGATGTGACAGTATAAAATATTGATTGAACAATGTCTAATACTGGTATTGTATCGCTGGTTGTTATAATTTGTATCATTTTTGGGTGTAATATCTCATAGCTGTAAAAATTATTATAATCATTAAGGAAACAAATAAATATAAATTAATATCAATAATTAATTAAATGAATTAATAAATAAATCAGTTATCAAAAGGATACACTAATGAAAAAATATGAGGAAACTTGACAGCAGCTTCACCCAAAAATCCATACAAAAACAATTTTTCTGATTCATCATCAGTATGTTGTAATATTGTTACCATTAAGGAAATTAGCAATAAAGCTGATTCGGGATTTGGTATATCTAACTTGTCAAATACTTTATAGTAGGTTGAATGTAATTCTGAATTATCAATTTCAGTATCAAATATCCCACATAACCAAAGCAATTCTTTCATATCTCCATTTCTTGCCGATAAAGGCAACAAGGCTGCCAAATATCCTAATATGCATGAATGCACGTTATTTTGTTGTCCTTCTGTTAAAACAACACCTTTTGATGCCGTATTTAAAAATGAAATCAACACTCCTTGTGTAATATTTTTTGTTGATGGAGTTTTTAATCCTTTTAATAAAGCTGCTGCCACGGCAAATGAAAAATATTCATAACTTATTCCTGCCTCTGCATCCATTTGAGTTGCTAAAGTTTTGAATGGTGAACGATATTCTAATAACACTGTTTCTAAATTTTGATTTGTAAAAAGATTATGTTGATCTAATGCTCTCAGCACAACTTGCAATAGATTGATAGCACTAGGAAATATTGTAATATGACCAATTTGAACTAACGCCATTGCTAGCCAAAACATTGGTCGAAGATAATTTGACTCCTTTGGAAGATTCTCGACAATTTTAGTCAAACACATAACAATACTAATTATCAATAGACAGTCATTTTCAACAAAATTATACAATGCACCTTTAAGAGCTACCAAAATTTGATACAAAAGATCATCATCTACTTCTTCTCTCGCTAAGCATCCAAGTATTACAAATGCTCTGGGCTGTATTGTTAAATTATGCTGAAATGCTGTACTAGTTACAAGCCCCATCCATCTTGCTCTCCAAGCATTTGAAACATCTATCATATTAATAATAAAGTAAGCGAGCGCGTACAAATGTTTCCATGTATGTGTACATGTATAAATGCATATAATTGTATTTGTATGAATTTTGTATAATTAATACACTTACCAATAGATGGTGCACCACATATCATAACTTCCAAGAGAGCTTGCACTATAGTCTCTAAAGAACTTAACGGCATGATATCTGTTAATTCGTGTGTAGATTCAGCTGATATTAGAAATGCATTTCCTGGTGAATTATTTAATCCAAAGAAAAACCTGAAATTTGGTTCAGATAATTCTGTTAATAACAAAGTTAATCTTTTTCTATTGGTTTCGTCAAGTGGAGAGGCGGTGCATAATGATTGGACCAGATTAACTATTAGACCGTGTACAGATGCTCTGATGAGTGGAGGGCCAGTTGAAACGAGCAATGAAATTACTTGAAATAACTCTGGTAAATAATTCTGAATATGTATTCGATTGTTAAAGGATAGCATCAAATTGAACCGTATTAAGATTGCTATTTCTGGCCATGCTGTATTGTCTGTCAGATTCCTTGTTTGATTAATCGAAGTTCTTGCAATTGCCTAAAATATATTGATAATATAAATTAACATTTACAGAAAAAAAATTTTCATAAATCACAGATATATTAATAATACCTTTCTAAGTCTTGCAATAATTTTTCCTCTAACATTAACTGAAGACAAGGTGACAATCGTATTTGAAACAGTTTCTGACTGGATTGAACTGATTCCATTTTCGACAGCATAGTTAATAAATTCATCGATTATTAAATTTGTCATTTCATCTACACCTTTTAATGTCAACCAAACTTTTAATTGAATAGCATTATACATCTAAAAAATTTTTAATTATAATTATTATGATTGAATGATGTTAAGTATTATAATTGCGATAAAGTACAATAAAATTTAAATATATATACTTCTGTTTCTTTGGTAGTCATTTCGATCAAATTTTTAATGATTTCTCTAGTTCTTTGTTGATTCTCTAAAGAATTTTTACCAATAACAGCCAAATTTGGTAACCATGGTGCCATGTATTCTAAACAAAAGTGTTTTTGAGAAGTTGATGAATGTTCGAATCCAACAAAGAACTCTTTGAAAAATTCAAGCGTGATCGTTTTATCAGATAATGCTAATTTTTCACTAAATCGTAAAATAAAACCCGTGTTGTTTGCAGGTATACATAAACCTAAATTAATTTGATAAAAAATAATTATTATTATTGGCTTTTTTCATTATAAAAAAAACTCAATCTAGTGTTTATTTTAAATACCTTTTGCATTTAACAAATGATTACCAATATTAAAATTAAAAATATGACTTAAAGCAACAAGTAAATTATAAGCTGCAAGTCTTAAATTAGGATCCTCACTTCCTATATTTAAGAGAGACATATTTAATAAAGTCCCTGGAACACTGCTTGGACGAACCACTCTTTCAGTATTATTTTTAGGTCCAGAATATTGATCTCTTGCCTTTAAATGATAGATGTAAAACATTGGTTAATAAATAAATAGATGCACAAGAGAGCGTATGTGATTATGATTATTATAATTATAAATATTAACCTTGGAGACTTTCAAAGCCTATTTATAGGTAGAAATAATAAGTTAAGAAATCATTCATTTGTATGTTAATAAAAAGTGAAGGAAGAATTGTTTATAAATTACCTGCATAATCTGTTCTTTTCTTACGCTAACAAAAGTAAGAGAAGGTCTACCACGATCTGGTTTAACCATAAATTCGCTATCATAACTTCTTTGAATTGGATTGCTGATATCTTCAATTTCCGATATATGATAGACATCATTAAATTGGCAAGATGTTCCAGAAAACAATTCCTGCTTTCTTGTCTTAAATAGCAATAAAATACAATTAATAAATTATATTGTAAAACAAGAAAAATATCAAATTATAAATTGAAATACTAACAGTTATAATCTGAAGATATTCATTGCTAATCTTTATCGTGACAGTGTGATACGTTCTGTAAGGATTGGCTTTTGTTACATTTGTAAATGTAAGGCTAATATCGGAATCCAATTGCACTAATATTATATTTATCATTCATTATTGATATTATTAATTGTATAATAAAATAAGTCAATAATAACAATAATTCCTACTTGTCGTTTCCGGTAATCTAATTTCAGAATGTGCAATGTATTCATGAAGCTCGTTCAAAGAACAACAAAATACTATTCTCTTTGCCATTTTATTATGTAGGGGTAGTGTGTAAGTGTTAAGGATAAAAAAATATATATTATATGTATCTAATAAATGATGGCTTTTTTTTTTTTGATAGAATAAAGGATATATGACACTCTTTTGACATATTTTTTAAATAAAGTGTTTGTATTGTAAAAAAACAAAGTATGGAGATTTTCAACAACATCAAGTGGAAGTATCTGAATGAATTGCTGGACCCATTGTGCTTGAATTTCATTAGCTAATCCAAACTGTGTCAAATCAAAAAGTATATCAAATGGTCTTCCGATTTTTGACTCGGTAATCTATTTGAAAAATAATTAATATAATATACTTCGTTTCTTTTTTACACAAAAATCATTTATTTCATAAAACCTACTCGAAACATATAATAAAATAAAAGTTCAATGTCAGTAGCTTCAGCCTCAAGTCTATTTGCAATATAATAAAATACAGGTCTTTGTCCCTATAAAAAATTATTATTATTAGTTAAATGGACCTAAACAATATAAAAAATTATATAATATCTTTATGTGAATAAACGAATGAGTATGTATACTTTTGACATTCCGCCTTCATAAAATAATTTTCTAGAAGAAATGGCCTCGACATTACGTTTAGAGTGCCTTTTCATGAACTCGGTGAACAAGTGATTGTTTGCTAGATGATTATATGCATATAAGCTTGATTCTTTTTTTGGTGTTTCAGGAGGTGTACCTAATTGTGCCAACAAAGTTGATAATTTATCCCATAATTTTTTCTTATTTTGAATTTTTTCAGGATCTGTTGACAATCCAGGCACAATTGATTTAATCCTTCTTGTTTGTAAATCTTTTGACATTCTTTCCTGGCAATCATATAATATCTTGTGCAAAGCTTTTCTGTCCGAATCGCGCAGCACGCGAGAAGTTGATTTTTCCGTCATTGGTGATTCTGAATTAGCATCTTTTGTTTGCTGTAAAATTGTCATCAGATAATAAAAATATAATAAATGAATATTTATTTTATATAAATAGATTTTATATTTAAGCTAACAAAATAAATAAAAAAGTAATTGGTTATTTACCGAAATTTCCTGTAAAAACTTATTAACATCATCGATATTTTTTTTGATAAACTCATTCATCTCAATCAAAAATGGTTCATTCGCACTAAACAAATTATTGTTGGCAACATGTTGAATTATTCTTGTGACCAAAACTAAAGTCCTTTTAGTATTTTTGTTTTCAATTTTTCGACAAAGATTAACAGAATCTGGTGCCACAACTGCTGGATTAAAAAATCTCAGAAACACAAAGGCACCAACTGATTTTAATTTTGCATTGGGGAACTTTGTACTTACAGCTTCATAAATATAATTAAAAATGTGTCTATATTCACTATAAAAAATGAATAAATAAGAGTGCGTGTATATATATACACATATCTTTAAATCATATATATAAATATTAGTGATAATATTCAAATCAACAAAAATAAAAATTTACCTTGGAATTGTTTCAGATGACGAACAAATTGCATTAATGAAAGCTTGCGCTGTATTTTTTAAATTTAAAATATTTCTTTCAACACTTTCACCATGTTGAAGTCTTTTAGGATCAATCTCACAACTAAAACCAACCGGTTTTTCCAACAATTCATTAAGTACAGGTTGAAGTGTTTCACACAAGTATTCAAAACAATATGTTTTTGAATACATCAAAAATAGTCTAGTTGTCATTGTATTACCTCTAAACAAACTTGGTTCATTTTCTGGAACAATATTATTATTTTAAATACATTTTTGGTAAAATTATAATAGGAAAGGAATAAACAAAGATGGGAAAAATATGACGAATAAATACCTGTAGACATAACTTCTTGATCAATAATAGTTTTCATTAATGGTAGTAAATTGTTCCTGGCACTAAAAACTACGATTATAATACGTGAAACTTCGTCCTGTTCATTGTTATGACAAACTTCACATAGTGATGATGCAAAATCAAAATCCGGACCAGCAAATATCTATTAAAAAACCCCCAAAATGTTATCATTATAAATAAATATTTATTTGCTGATTATCATTTAAATAAAAAATGTGAATATGAATAACTCATACATCAATTAATCTTTCATAACGTTCTTTCATTGCATTTTCTGTCAGAACATCAAATTCAACACCTTGATTTAGAATGTTAGTTAAAACCTGCATAAACGCTGTTCTTGTCTTAGAATCTTCATGATAGCCCATTGTTAAAGAAATTTCTAAACCAGATTCTACATTTGCACTTAAAAGATTGCTGAGTGCCAGAATAGTATAATCTTTCAATGGTCCAAGGTCCTTAACATATTCTTTAGACTGTATATATTATTAATAAAGTAAGCATTTAATTTAAAAGTCTTAAATCTAAAAAAATAATTTTGCAAAATTACCCTAGACAATAACATTTGCAAATCTTCATTATTTTTAGCAGAATGAGTACCACTATCAATTGCCTATTTCAAAAAAAGAACAAATTAGAATTGGACTTGCAGCAAAATAAATATCATAATTAACGTTTACTATTGAAATAATAAATGATTAATTACCTCTAAAATACGACATCTATTTAACAATTTGATGAAAAATGAAAAATATCTCTTGAATAATCCAGATTTTCCTTTACTCAAATCAGTCTCATGAGTTTCAGGAGGTTGTAATGGTAATTGAGCCAATAATTCTACAATTGTTTTAAGACATGAATGATCCAAGCTTCGATGTGATTTTTCAATTTTTTGCGCACTACTACTATTTTCTGCACCATTAGATCCGTCTGTTTTCTATAAAAACAATTTTTTGTTAATACAATTTTTTAAAGTGCAAGTGTGAATACAAATCAAGAAAATAAATACCAATGAATAGTCAGAAGTCCATTCAATAATAATTTCTAAAAGTTTATTGCGCAATTTAATTTCTTGTCGCAAATTTATGTATTCTTTCTTTAGCATCAACGATTCAGCAAGTTGACACAATCTTTTTTTGATTTTTAAAGAAGATTGATTTGCACCTAATTTATTTAGATATTTTGCAAAAGATAAAACCAACCAGCCAATGTCACATGCATAAAGATTGTCAGATGCATCATGGACACGATCTAAAATCAATATCATCACATTGATGCCTTGTTCTACAAACAACGTATATCGATCCTTAGGACCTTCATCTTCTAAAAACCTTGATACAATGGATTCAAAATTACGAAAAAGTATAATATATAATCTAGGACTTAATTCGTTGCCAAGAGTATCTTTCACAGCTTCTCTTATAGAAGGAACATCATAAACAAGTAAGTCAACCATGTCTTGAACAAACTTTTCAACCATGTGATGATAATCAGAAGTTTGTACTAAAGAAATTCTGCGAGTAACAAAATCACTATTACGATTATAATCGGCATTTAGCAGTTTATTGTCGACACAACAACCACCAAGAGCAGAAAGGAATCCAGTAAAATTGGTCCATTCATTCAATTGATGCTTTAAAATTAAATATAATAATTAGAATTCGACTTTTAAAAATAAATGTAATAGCAGTAATAATAAATATTTATTTATATACCCCAGATATATTAATAAGAGCAGCTGGTTGTGGATATGGTCTTGGTGGAACACTGCTTGAAACAAACACTGCACCAATAAATCCGCTTTTTTTACCTTTATCATTATTATCAAAGCCGCTATGATCTAGTACTGACTTTGCAATTCGTAAAGTCAACTCTTTCCATCTTTTTAAAGCCTCTTCCCAAGCACCGAGATTACCGGCAGTTGGTTGAGTCATCATTCTTAGTAACTTACGAATACGCCTTTGTTGTGCATTCCGGCCTGAAGTCACATGATATGATGACGATAATTCTAAATAAACTTCCATGTTTTCAACAATAGTCATTTGATAATTTTGCATCTCTTGCGGTGGTACAACATCGTTGACATTTGTCAGTTGAGCCTCGATGCATAATTGATCAAAACAGCTTATTGCCATGACGCCAATATCAGAATCAGCAGAACATAACAAAACTAACAAAGCAACTTCAAGAGCTATATTAGATGTTAATCTATCTGGAACGTTGATTCGCATATTTAATTCATCCTAAAATTTTAAATAGAAAAAAAATGCAAGTTTTGTCTTAATGTTGAAATATTCCAAACAAACATAAATATAACTATATAAATGAACAAATACCGTATGATCCTTGAGAAATTGATTACGACACTTTAAAAGCTGAAGTAAAAGGTTTAACATATATTTTGTGCTATCGTTACGTTCTTTAGAATCGAGTATTTGTTTTGCAACTGCAAGAGTAATTTGTGAACTATTATGTACACATTTATATAAGTTTATAAGTGATATTGTTAACATTAAAATTCTACGTGTTAAAAAGTCACCTTATGTGCCAGAAATGCTGCATCCTGGTTTCTTTAGGGCCCCATTGTTCAATTAACTTCACATTATGAAGTTGTAAAAGAGTATCAGCTGCAATAGTTTTAATGGTATCATTATAAACATTCATACATTCGGTGATTGCTAAAATAATAGATTGATTTTCTTCATCGGGTTTTCTGCCCTATATTGCAATGATAATAATAAAATAGTAATAATTAATAAAAAACAAAATAGATGCTGAAAATGAAAAACACTCGTTATACATACTACAATTGCAAGCAAAGGATCTGCTCGATATAAATTTAAGATATGTTGAATAATTTCTAATCTTTCAAGAAAATCGTCGTGTCTATCAGCTCTTCCATTTCTACGCCCATTAACATCTACATTTGACACAAGATCTTGAAAAAGTTTTCTAAGTGGAGATGCAAGAATCGAATGCATAATTTCCATTTGCGAATTTAAAGGCAAACGAGGTTCCTATGATATGAATTTCATAACAAACAAACAAACAAACAAACAAACAAATAAATATAAAGGTATTATTTTTAAAAATTAAAATAATTACCTCTGAAGCCATAGAATAGCAACTCTTGAGAAGTACTAATTTAAAAGCATTAGGGGCATTAACGTGTAAACATATTGGAATTAAAGAGTTTAATGTAGTCTCTGGATTTAATTTGAATAATACTGTTAAGCAATCTGTCATAAGTGATTGATTGATATTATGTTCATCAGGAAATGGTCTATATAGATCAAATAATTTATCCTAACGAATGTAAACAATAATTAATCATAGCATGAAAAAATTAATCAAAATAAATGTCGTTCAAATAATATAAATAAATAAATGATTACAAACTTTTAAATCATTTTCAATATCAGGAACTATTATTCTAAACGTTGAAATATCTTCCTTGGAAACATAAGTAGAAGCCTTACAAATATCAACATAACATAAAGCAGCAACATCTGACAAAGCTTTTCCTTTTAAGCTAACTTTTAAAGTTTCCAAGAATTGTACCTATTTTTAAATAAATTATTTTATTATTGATATTTTTTTGGGAATACAAAAAATAAATAAATATATACGTAGATGATATATATAGATGAATAAATAAATTTATTATGTTAAAAATTACTTTTTTAGATATTGTATTTGTTCTGTCACTATCTGACCTTTCATACATAGAAGCACTAAATAAAATGTCTGGACAAATGACTAATAGCATAGTTTGTAATGGCCAAAATGCAGTTTTACGATTTACGCTTTCAGATGCTGCTAAATGCAATATGTCAAATAAAATTTCAGGACCACCTTCTAATCTTTTTTGATTTTGACATAATGATATAAATTCACTAGGAAATATTTCAATCCAATTCCAAATAGCTTTTCTAAGAACTGTTGCCAGTGTTATTTGTGATTGCTTTCTCAAGTGAATGAATGAACCACATAGTTCTAAGGGATTATATTAAAAGTTAATAATATTTTTATATAAAAGAAGAATAAGATCAAGATGAAATAATACCTTGCAGAATTCTGGACAATCTTTTGGCGTTTAAATTTGAACATTCCAATAATTTAAGTTCGGCGATTTCAGGTCTGTCTTCATTTGCAGCAGCCAAGTTGCCAATTCGACCCTTGATTTTTGCAAACACTACATCCCAATTAGACGAACTTATATAAAATATCACACGGCCAGCATTTTTAAATATTTCGCAAACAGTATCATATATAATATGTGATGAATAATTGTTTGTTCCATAACCATTATCCATTACATTCTCTTGTCCGGCCATTAAATAAAGAAATTTTGAAAGAACATTTAAAACAAGTCTGGCCAAATCATCTTCTAAAGGCGGAGGATCTTCTAATAATCTTTGATGTCTTGGTGATCTCGATGACGATGATGACGACGACGACGACGATGATGTTGGAGATCCATCACCATTATTATTATTACTATTACTATTACTATTATTGTTGATGTAAGGTTGATTGATTAAAGTGAGAGTGGTCGAAGTTGATGCAGTAGTAGTAGCAGTAGTTGAGGAAGAAGAAGTGTGACTTTCAATTGGTGATTCTTTTATATTAGAATCATTATTTTGCGAATTTTTCACTTCTGTATCTATTATCAATGATTGACGATGCTTCTTCCAATGATGTGTCATACATGCAGAAAGAATTTTCAAAATGTATAGTTGTGATTGTAGAATTTCAAACGAACCATTAATATTGTTATCAATCTAAAAATATAAGCAGTATTAGAAAATTAGCCAAAAAATCTTTCATACAAACAAGGACTCTCTATTTTTCACTTACCCTCGATATATTATCCAAAATACGGGTTAAATTATTTACTATTATATTAAGTCTTAATCGTGATAATTCAATAATAGCATTAACAGTTGCTAGAATTATTGGATCTGATTCTAATTCATCTAAATTTCTTCCGCTTGTAATAGGTAACTTGATTATTAATATGTTATTAGGAATTTAGCACTTGTTTCGATATATTTTAATTGAGTAATACGGCGATTCAAATCAAAAATGGAACATTCAACAAACCTTTGAATGTATTCTACTTATCAATGTGCGAATCAACCTAGCATCGCCAACATTCATTATTAATAAATTTAATATATTATTATTAACTAAAAATGTGATTGTTATTATTATGTAAGGATGTGAAAAATCCCTTTTTTTTTAAAAAAAAATAAAATGGATAGTTTTTTTTCTAACAAAAAGAAAAGAAACTTTATATTATTTATTTTAATAATTTATTATTTTTATAAATAAGGAAATGATAAATAAACGTTAATTTAATAATTTAAAAATTTTCTAAATTTGTTTAAATTTGTTTGTTATTTTTTGTAGAGAAACAAACAACATTAATTACACAAAAATTATTAATTTCTTACAAGACAGCCCTACAATAAGGTGTCTTGAGTTAAGCCCTAACACATTCTATAATCTCACCATTTTGGCCATGAAAGTTCTCGTTCATGGGTCAAGAGCCAGCAGCACATCTCTTTCTCAGCCTTAATTTCAAATACATAGGTAGAATTCACTCACCATGATAATCTACGATTCATGGTAAAACGAAGTTCATAATTTATCTTTTCTGGTGTTTTATCACTTGAATTAATACCATTTTTCTTCTTCCATTCTCTGGATGGAATGGTAATTGACTATCTTTTTGGAACGTTGATTTAGAAACACTCGATTGGTGTACGTTTGAATATTTTTAGCATTGTACGTCCAGCGATCCCAGGTTTGTAAAAATTAAATATATAGTGCAAGTCACTTAGTCGCTGAACTTTTTGTGCTACACCGCCATTTTTTGAGAAAAAAATTTCCAATCAAAAA